TCTTTCACTAGGGTGCATTTTCCTTTTTCCTAGGAAAGGAAGTGGGGAGATGGATGACTGTGGCCATGCAAGGACTGGTGTGCATCTCCTCTCTTCTCCTGCTTGCCACCTCTATCGTCTGGATGCAGCAAGAAGGTAGGATCTCACTGTGACTCATTCACTTAATCTGATTTGGGTTTTAGTGCTTTGCTTTCTCTTCTTTGTTTTCAAGGTAGCATCTTTGATCTAGTGATATTTGATTTAGAGAAACTGAAGTTAAGAGTTCACTGCTCTGTCTCCAGACTCCTCTCTCTCTCTGCTGTTGCACTGATGTTTGCTGCAGGCTCTGCGATAGGTTTCATTGTCCTGTGCTGTCAGACAGAGAAGCAAGGATTTGGTAAGTGTCAGACCTGGGCCCTGGTATGCAGGGTGACACCTGAGTTCCCCAAATTAAACCCTTTTCTCTCTGCGGAGGAACAGGACAGATGATGGCAGAAAGCCTTAGCCAAACCTTCTCTCCGGTCTTCCAACTTCAGTCTGTGATGCTTCAGTAGCATGAAGAAAGGGGCTCAGTTCATGCATTCCTTCTTATGTTTTCCTCTTTTAAAACCTGGGTGCTACCATGGTCTTCTTGCACTCTTCAAGTACCACTATCCCTTCTCCAGGACTTCTCAGAGATGAAAACTGGCTTTGAAACCACTTCCACCAGTCCTTTAGGGACCTTGGATGAATAACACGTAGCCCAGCTGTTCTAAAACTAGCCAGCATATCCAAGTACTCCTTAGCCAGTTCTTCCCTCTTCTAGGCTGAGGCCTAGGGTAGCTGTCATGCCATGGGTGCTCATTTACTAACAAAAAGCTGCAAACAGATGTTAAGACAAACAAGAAAAAAAAACCCTGAAACATGTGGGTCATCTCCTTGTTCTGCTGTATTGCACCAGGCAACAGATCCTGCACTAAAGGCACAGTGGTTCCTTGCAAGATCCTTGAGAAGCAAACTTTCCCCATCCTTTTCTCAGACCACTGCCTCAGCCACAAAAAGCATTTCAATCTTAAATTCTGGTTTAATTCTGCCTCCCACAGGTCCTTCTGCTGCCTTCATATTGCTCGGACTTTTCCTCTTTGCTACGATAATAGCTCTCCTCATCACAGCAACACTAGTGCACAGACCAGCAGCTCTCAACCATTTCAAGACCAAAACATGTGAGTTGCTGTTTATGATCTAAATCACTGACAGAAAAGGCTTGTTAAGAGTCTAAGAGTAAACTCTTCAGTTTTTCACTGCCAGGAAAGACCTGGCGCACATCTAATGGTGCACATCTGGAGACTTAGGCCATGGCTTGCTTGCTTGCCCACCAAAGCTCATCTCTACATGTGAGCCTGTATCCCTTATGTGTTTCCGTCTCATTTCTCAGTAGTTTTCCCCTCTTCTAGGGCACCATGTCATCCAGGTCACTGCAGGCCCCACAGCAGCGATTGTCCTCATGCTGTTCGCTAACCTCCTGCTCCACAATATCCAACAGCTACATGGTAAGGGGTGAGCCAGGTTTCTACCGCTTCTTCCCTTGCTCGTCTTTGTTGTGGGAGCAGTGGGATACCTGGGAGGGATTGGCAGGCGTGAGCCTCACGTCATGGCTTCACCCAAGCCAGAGAGAGTCCTTAGGTAGCTTTGCACAGTTGGCCCTGCAAGAAGGCAAATCTAAGGCTTGTTGTAGTTAACCTAGTCTTTGGTGGTGGTGGCTCAGGGATTCCTCTCTCTGTTTCATAGGAAGGCTCTGGATTAAATTCAGGTCACAAGCATTCAAGAGGGATGTTGGCCAAAGGGCCAAACACTGACCAGTTCTCACTTTCTCTTCTGCAGAGCGAGGCTGTTCGAAGCCTGTTGATCTGACAGCCAGCTTCATCCTTGCTGCTGCAGTAACCCTGTTTACGCTGCTGGCCTTCCTATGGTGTAAGTAGCCCCGTGGTTTTCTTCCAGGGATTGTGTGATCATAATTAACTGCTCTTGGCCACTTGGACCCTTACTCTCAGCTGTCATCCCTCCCCTGCTCCAGCCATTCTGGCAGTGATCAGAGCCTGGCAGTGGATCTTGCAAAAAAATGCTTTTAGTTTTAAAAAAAAAAAAAAAAAAAAAAAGCTAGATTTTTTTAATAGGCCCTTGACCCTTCAGAGAGTGACTAAAGCAGCTGCAGACCCAGCGCTGATGGCAGTTTGATGTCCAGCCTTTTAGGAAAGGCACAGTAGGGTGCGGGTCTCTATCTGCCAGTCCTTGCCAACAACTTTGCTTTGCCCATGGATGCGCAAGTAGGAGTTTCCGGAACCTGAGTTACTTCTCCAGAACACCCTGCTGTTGCTTTCCCTGGCGATAGCAATACTCCGTTCCAAAAACCTCAGCTACAGCAGGGTTTGAAAGAACTGTTCTGACCTGGCAAGGATGTGTTTGGGAATGTGTAATGACTCATCAGGGAGCTGACCAGTTGTCCCAAGAAAAACTGGCTCTTGCAGATTAAGTTCGTTCAACTCATTTTCTGAGCCTCCAGCTCTGGGGTGGGAGGGAAGAGATCAAGAAGGCTTTTCTACGTCTCACATGTTTCTTCAGTTGTTCTTTGGAAGTTTCTGGTTTCTGTAGCCTTCCCACAAGAACCCCCTTGTTTGCATGAATAGCAGTTGCATTTGTCTTCCCCTGCACAGGCTATGTGGTGTCTCAGTCTTAGGGGCCATCCTAGTCCTTTCAGAAGGCCCCTTTCTGCTCTTCTGCTCACTCGGGAGTTCTATGGCAGCGCCTGCCTTGCTACCCGCCTGAGGAGTAACATGCACCTTGAATGCACCTTCAGGCTTTTGGGCTTTGTGGAAGTGCTGGCTTAGCTCTTGGGATCACCTTTAGCTTCTCAGGGGAAGGAAGGCCCTCTAGAAGATTGAGAGGAGAGTATGATACTTCCACAGAGAGCATTTCTGTGCATTTCAGAGCCTAAAATATAGGAAACATTGCACAGATTCAGTAAACCCAAAAGGAGCCAGTTTAGAGCCATGTAACAAGTTGAGGCAGCTTGCAAGCGAGGAGGGTGTCTGTAGACAGAAGTCCATTCTCCCTGCTTCATTCTTGCTCTCCTCTCTGTTGTCCCTCCCAAACAAGGATCTCCTGGTTTTGGAAACAGAGGGGCTTAGCCGAAGTGAAAGGCTGCAATTTCCATTTCTCTCTGCAGCCAGATTTCTTTTAGAGGTCTCACAGAGTGTGAGGTGCTGGCTAAAATGCCTGAGTGTTGTTGGAAATCTAAGTGGCAAGAGTTATTTGGCCTCTCCTTCCTTTGCAGATGACAAGAATAAAAAGAACAAGAAGATACTCCAGGACACCCAGGAGAAAACACGTGGCACGACTACCTCGGTAACTCACCGCTATTAACTGGCGATTTTGAATTTCTTCTTTCCTAGCTATTGCAAATCTGTTTTACTTAATTTACGTTAAACTCTTGATTAATGTGGGGCTGCCACAAGCTCCGATTTACAGTTTTAAAAAACTGGTTGATCTCCTCTAGCAGTTTTTGCCGGAAATATTCGCAAGGAAGTGTCCATCTGCCTTCCCAGTGAATGCTATAGGCTTTGTCCTCATTTTGGCAGCTTTGGGGGAGGGCAAAACTGGCCCGATGGTGACCAGAGGCAGTAGTTCCGCCCAGTCCTATGGGCCCTACGGGTTCAAGCGTGCCACTTTGATGCTGCTGCGTGCTAAGGAGCTTTCCTGGGTTTTGCTGCTCAGTGGACAACACTGCTTCTTCTCCTGAGCCCTGCAGTTTCAGGTGCCTGTACTGGCACTGCGGACATGTGCTCGGCTGCCCTTTTGGGCAGGTGCCTGGAGGAAGGTGTTAGTGTCCTGAGTACGCCGCCGCTTCTCAGGGTTGCCCTACCCTGAGGGAGGAACTGCCCTGTTAATTTGTTTTTTAGATAAGAGTGAGATAAGGCTAGGGGGACTAAAAACACCTTGCTCTTCTACCACACCCAACCCAGAAACAGCTACACATAGTTACAAGAAAGACATGAAAGAAAACTACAGGTCCCTTGACTGTAAGCGTGGCTCTAAACAATCACACTTCCATTCCTACTTCATGTTCTCCCTCTTCCTCCCATCTCTGTCCTGGAGACGCCTCCCCTCCCTCCCACCGCAGCCTTGCCAGCACTCAGGCCCTCTGCGCCTGAGGCCAACTTGCCGCCAATGCACCTTAGTGTTACAAGCTGCCTCCTTTCTCTGGAGATGCAAGAAGGCTTTGGGAGATTAGGGGACTCCTCCTTACCTGGTTCAGTTGTCCTCCCACTGCTTACTCAGTGTGCGAAGTCGAAGCGTGAGGCATCTCCAGCAGCTGATCCTTAGGCTGGGTATCAGCCTGGAGAGCGATGCCAGCATCCCGGCATTTCTGCAGCACTCATGCACACACAGCCTGGGCCCTGCTCCCCCTCTGGTAGGTGGTCACATTGTGCAGGGATTTACTGCCCCTGTCCAGGCCAACATCTGGGGATGATTTGAGGGACTGAGACATTTGAGATGAGAGTAACAGCTCTGTGTGCCCGGGGGTATTAGCCCCTGGGCAGGGACAGCCAGCCACAGGTTGCTGCCTGCCTCACAGGCACGTGGGTTGCTATTTGGTGCTTTACAGACTGACTTTAAAGCTCCTGGTTGTTACTCAGACTCAGAATCCCTTTTATACCTCCAGAGGACGTGGCAGCATGTGCGTACGGCCAGATGAGCAAGCGCTTGTCAAGGCAACTCCCTGACCAAGCATCTTGCTACCCGCTAGTCGCCAGGAACTGGCTGGCTGGCCACATCCCCTGTAGCAGGGCTGGACGCCTCCACGGATGAAGCCGGAGCCATCGCAGGGTGTGCACGCAGGATACAGTCCCGGGTGTTTTTTAGCAGGTGCAGGAAGAACTCCAAGGACAAAATCAGGAAGAGGAGTAAGGAGTCATTCCTCTGACAACCGGAAAGCTCTGCTCACACACCACGGGCAGCAGGAAGGAGCCCCATGGAGCCAGAAAAATGCCATTTATAACAAGGCAATAGTAAGCTCCAGTTGTACCCCAGCACTAGCTGGGCAATGCTTTTGGCATAAACACTTGGTAAAACGTTACCACCCTGCTCTCCTCACTTTAGCTCCAGGTGACACCTCCTACTTTTCCTACCACCGCGCTCCGGGGCCTCCACTACAGCAAAAGCGATTTACCCTTTTGCTGCCAGCAAAATACCTGCTTGGTATTTATTACGATATGAAGCAACGAGGTACCACGTTCTTCAAGCGCTGGCCGAGCCACCCTCCCTGTGCTTTTGTTCCTGAAGCTTTAACTTTGCCCTGTTTCAGCCTCAGCAGAGCTCTGCCCAGCTCCGCGCATGGGGCGATCTCCGTGTCGCTGCATGCGTGCCCTGCCGCTTTCCAGGCTGCTCCCCTTTTGTGCCTGTGATGAACGCACCTCCCTCTTTGAAGTAAAGCAATGAGTCAGGCTGTTAATTCTCGGGGGCAGGTGCCCTCGCCACCCTTGCTGCCACGTCCTCATGCTGCCCCGGGATTTGTGCCTTCTGCAGGGCAAACCTCCAGCACGGCGCAGCCAGGCCAGCGCTCCCCTGGCAGCGGGCAGGGCTCAGGTCTTTTCACCAGCCCGATGAAGCCCTCCCCTCTAGGCTGCGTTGCCCTCAGTTTTGCGCGACGAGCTGCCCCCTGCCATACCGCCTTCCCCGGAAAACTTAGTCCCGTCCCTCGTGCACATGTCGTACCCCTGCTCCTTTCCTTTCTCAGTTGCTCACCAGCTCCTCCACGCCACGCTCCACGCTTGTTGCTTTGGGAAGAATAACTAGCCTTTGGGATGGATGACTAGGAGAGACAGCTCCGTCGCAGTCTGTGTGTGCCTTATGGGCTCTCCAGGGTGGGGGGAGAGGGTGCGTATTTTAAAGCATCCCTGAACTAGACTGGCCTTAGACAATTCCCCATCCAAGCGACTCTTAATTGACCTCGCATTCATGATGTGGCCTTCAGTTGTTGTGGTCCTTTCCCGGTTTCGGGATTTTAGCCAGAGTTGGAGTATGTTCTGTCAAGGTCCTCTCTTCTTTTTTTTTCTCCTTTTTATGGGAGGTCCACTGTGAAAAGCGTTTGTCTACAAAAACCTGAGAAATAACCTTATACTGCTCTTTTCCTCTCTCTGTTACAGCTGCTCTAATAAACATGTTTTCTTTGGGTACTTCCATTTGTGTCCCCATCCTGCTTCGCAACGCGAAAGAGAGCGCAATCCCGTTCACCACCTGGATTTACGCCCCGCTCCGGGGCTGGTTCCTGCCGTGGCCAGCTTGACCAGCTTTCACCAGGGCTAGTCACGTGTCAGACCTGCTTTTTCTCAGCCACTGAGCAACGCGGGGGCTGTAGAGCCTAGAACAAAGCCAGGGAAGAGTCTCCGTCTCCCCCCCGTCGAAATCTCGTGGCCGCAGCAGAGAAGATCGACACGCACGCACAGCTGCGGCCAGCTCACTAAACGTGACTCGTGACTACAGCCCCCCCCGCCGCCGCACTGTGGGCATGCCCTGGCCCCACAGACATGCACCAGGCTGGACCCGGCGTCCCCCCCTCACTGGGGGAAGGAACGGCTCTGGCCGCCAGTTGCATTTAGGGTGCAGGGAATCGTATAGCCGGGGCGCTCCTATGGCATAGCTCAGACCAGGAGCTGAAACGGGGCTCCTGAGCCCGTGGGTGCCTGGGGTGGGGGCCCCACAGGAAGCTGTTCAGGGCAACAGAGGCCAGTTAGTGTCCTCAGGACCCCAACACCTTGAGCCAAACACCAAGGAAACCTCCCCCCCGCCAATTCCTCCCCACTTCCAGGCATAGCCCAGGACCCTCACACATCACCGGAGATGGACCAGAAGAGCCAGAGCTTAGCACACACCAGAGCAGATTGACTAAACGCCCAAACAGCAAAGCCCCCACCAGGCTCACAGAGGCTAGGGCTGGCCCCTGGATGGCGTTTAGGCCTCAGCAAGCCGCTCCGTCAGAGTCACAGCTGCGGCTAGAAGCAGCCGTAGACCTGCACAAATCTATACGATAAAGTCCCGCATGAGCTGCTCCACCAGCGTAATGCACTGGTTGCAAATGAAACGCCAGTAAGGCATGGCTTGTTTAGGATGCAGATCGAGAGGCGCAATGGAAGCGTTTGAGATGAAAACCAGTGCCCTGGACTGCAGCAAACGCATGCACTTCCCAAGGGAAAACACGTCCCCAGGGCAGGGAAAGCCGAACAGCCCACCCAGGCCAGAGCACAAGCTGCCTGCTCTCCTCCGGGTGCCCCGTTCAAGGCAGAAGCTCAGTCCCGGGATCAAGGCCACCGACAAATGGCCTTGTGGCACTTGAGAGGAACAGGACTTCAGAGCTTTTCAGCCTGCGGAGTTGTACTCAGTTAATACGTACAAGGGCAAAAGCAGCCTCCCGGCCCCGCCAGCCTTGTAAATATTTTCCTGCCTCTGCAATGGGTGATGAGCCAGCAGTACCTGGAAGCACCCGGGACCTCTCCCGCTTAAACTACTTGAGCAGTGACGTCTTTGACAACGATCTGAGAGGTCCATACCTAACAAACGGCAAAATCACATTGGTTGCTTATCTGCATCGGTCCGTTTAAAACTTACCTCAAGGCTAGGTTTCACATCCGTACTGAGCGGTGGCTGAGAGGTAAACCACCTCTGTACCACAGGCTTCAGCCAAGAAAACCCCCA